AGCATTCTATTGCTACTCTTTTAAAGTGGGGATGACAAGACAAAGACATTGTAACTGCAGCTGTGACCAGGAAATGCTGTATAACAGTGTTTCTTAAACTTTTTGAGACCATGGAACACCAAACAATATTTTTATGTGGAACGCCTATGGAAATTTTCTTCAAACAAAATAAATTGTCAGACAAAAAAAACAAAAAACAAAGAAGTAACAAAAACAAAGACGAGGTCGCGGCACACCTGCAAGTTGTTCACGGAACACCAGTGTTCTGCGGAACAAAGTTTAAGAAACACTGCTGTATAAGGTATTAACCCAATCAGAGCGCTTGATAGCACCGTCCACCTATAGTGGATTGAGAGGAACATTTTGATTGCAACAAAATGTTGCAGGAAACTTCTGATCTGACATATGCAAAATAAATCAGCTTCTAAAAGGCACAGGAAAAGTAAGAAACATGTATAAGACCACTGCATTGATCACTGTGGGTGAGGTCTCAATATTAGTACACAATCAAAAATGCCTGCTGCTACTTTGCCTCAAATATTGACTGAAATTTATAAGAAATATTGCCTGAAATCTCATTGACAGGTGCTTCAGATAAATTCTTATAAAAAGACCAGTGCTGTTCTTTGAACAGCATCAATGATGAAACTGACAGGTTCTGAAATATCCAGCTTGTGGCTGAGCAACAGGCTTCAAAACATAAGAGTGTCCTGGTTAAATACAACACATGAAGTCAAGCAACTGAATGCTGATAAAATGTATAAATGGTTATATACAAAGTCTAAATACTAAGATGGGTGAACTAGAGCACTGGTATTAAATGAGAATGTTGATATAACAGATATTACAGAGACTTGGTGGAATGAGGATAATTAATGATGCATGAGGATAACTGGATATAAAGTACACCAGAATAACAGAGTAGGAGAGAAGCACTATACGTGAAAGAAAATAGAGTCAAATGAGTAAAACATTGTCAATGAACCCAGAAGTACCATAAAATTTCTAAGGATGGAAATTCCATGCTTGAACAATAAGACCATAGCAGTAGGAATTATTCTACTGAACATCTGACCAGCATGGTGACAAACTATGAAAAACTCAAGATTATTATTGCATTGCCTATCTTTGTAGACACTCCAACAGAGGATTTCAAAATAACACATACCCACTCCATCTGCTGTTATCTCAGGATGGAATGCAGAATATATATCTCTAGACACCATAAATAACAACTGCTTGGAGCAGCTTTGCCTGCAACCCACAAGAGGGAGGCCATTTTTTATCTAGCCCTAAATGTAGCACAAGATCTGGTATAAGATGTGAAAATGACTGCTATTACTGAGCAGCTCACCTGTAATGTAATTTCATTTTACATCTTTGTAGGGGAAAAAAATACCAAAGAAACCCACCACAGTAGTGTTTAACTTCAAAAAGGAAAACTACACTAATATGAAAAAGCTGGTTAAAAGGAAATTAAAATGAATAGGTATAAGGGTGAAATGTTTGCAAACAGTATGCAGACTATTAAAACTACCTTAAATTAAATATGTCCCACAAGAAACAAACAAAAAAACCACACACACAGAGAGATTAAGTGCCCCTCCTCCTCAAAAGCCATGATGGCAAAACAAAGAGATGTAAAGAGATGGTTAGAGGCAAAAAGGCATCCTTTAAAAATTGGCCATCAAATCCTAGTGAAGAAAATAGAAGATCATGAACTCTGGCAACTCAAGTGTAAAAAAGTTTAAAAAAGCAGGCCAAGAAAGAATACAAAGACCAACTTGCTAAGGACACAAAAGTTAACAGCAAAACTTTTTAAGTACATCAGAAGAAGGAAGCCTGCCAGTCAGTGGGGCCACTGGAAAACAGAGATTCTAATAAATCTTTCTAAGGAGACAAGGCCATTGCAGAGAAACTAAATATTTTTTGCATTGTTCTTCACTGCAGAGCCTAAGAGAGAGAGATCCCTACAACCATAGCATCCTTTTAGGTGACAAATTTGAGGAACTGTCCCGGATTAAGGTTTAAATAGAGATGTTCAACAAACTGATAAATGAAACATTAAGTTACAAGAACTAGATGGTATTCACACAAAAGTTCTAAAGGAACTCAAATATAAGATTACATAACTATTAATTGTGGCATGTAACCTATTCTTTAAATCAGCTTCTGTACCAGATGACTAGAGCAGTGGCTCTCAATGTTTCCAGACTATTGTATCCCTTTCAGGAGTCTGATTTTTCTTGTGTACCTCACTTAAAAACTACTTGCTTACAAAAAAATCAGACCAAAAAAATGTCACAGCACAGTTAATGAAAAATTACTTACTCTCTTATTTTACAATACAATTATAAAATAAATCAAATGGAATATAAAATATTGTACTTATATTTCAATGTATAGTATTAGGGTGACCATCAGTGATCCCTCTAAGTTGCACAGCAGCACAGCCCCACAGCTGCTTAATCAGCTCCACCTAATACAGAGCCCTGAGCCCCTGACTGGGCAGGGCTGATTAAGTAGCTGTGGGTCTGTGCTGCCAGGTAGCTTACAGAAAACACAGGTGACCATGTGTCCAGTTTTGAACTAGAATACCCAACTAGAAGGCTCTGATCAGCACTCCTGTCCGGGCCATTGACAGTCCACTTGGTGGCACAACAGGCCTGGCATGCTCCCTGAAAGATGCCATCCTGAACGGTTCCTGGGAAGTGGCTAGCATGTCTGACTCCTCGTCTTGGAGGTGGCCAAGGAGTCCACATGCTGTCCTGCCCACAGACGGTCATAACAGCGGACAAACTAGCATGGGTCATGAGTACTCAACAGGCTGTTGAGGGATTGTGGTGCACTCTTCTGCTGCTGCTGCTGCTAGCCATCTTCTTCTCATGCGCCTCCTTGGGCTGGGCTTGAGCTGCAGAGTATGCCCTGTGGTAAACTGCAATCTGTTGCTCTATGACTGGCACCCAGGAATTCATGGTATTTGTAGCTCCTGTCTCCAAGTACTAGGAATGGAGCTGCACTTCCATCCTCCCCATTGGATCCCTCCTCATCCCAACTGCCCTGCATCTCCATCCCCTCATCATTGCATTCCTTCCCATCCTACCGCCTCCCCGCCCCCGGAACTCTCCA